CCCCAGCATTCATGACCAGGAAATGCCAAATGGGAAGACTACAACAATAACACAACATGGCATAAAAGTACACTTCTTTGTGACCTGGACAAAAACTGGCAACATAACCGTGTTGTGTGTGCTAATCAACATGACGTAGGGTACAGACTGTCACAAATCACTGACAGCAAGGGTAAACATATCTCATGCATTAAGACAAACCTCAGTGATCAACCATCTAAACACATTCATTGACATCACTTCAAAGTTTCTTGAAGACACTTTTAGTCAAGTACATCACAACCACCCCCCACCCCCCTTCTCATTGGTCACTCTCTTGTAAGTTGATGTTTTCTATTTCTATAGGTTCTAAGAAAATAAAAAAGAACACTTCCACAATAAATTAGCAATGACCACGAAAAACCTTTTTTTAACAGAAAGTGTTTGCAAATAGGTGCATTTTGTAGCTCTATCTCCACAGAGCATGGCACTTTTTTGAATTTTTGAAATCCATCAATAAACAAAAAAGTAACGAATTTTTTAATCAATTAATTTTTGGTACACTTTTGTATAATGAAAAAAACCCAAAATATGGGACGTTCTTTGGTGAGTTTTGAGACAATATTCTTTATAAATTATAACTCGCTCATTTCTCGGAGTATTTAAATGAAACTTGGCAAATTAGTACATTTTCTAGTGCAGAATCTAGTCCTGCTTTCAGATTTGTCATACCTATCCTACTTTTTGAGTTATGAAGACGTTTATGGGTAAAAAAGTGGCGGTTTTCGGTGCGTTTTGAGACAATATTTGTCATAGCTCGCCTATTGCTTGGAGTATGTAAATGAAGTTTGGCAGTCTAGTACAGTTTTTAATGCAGAATCTAGTCATGCTGTCAGATTTTTAATATCTATCATACTTTTTGAGTTGTAAAGACATTAGCAGGTTAAAAAGTGGCGTTCTTTACAGATTTACAAAGATTATCAGTCATATCTTCTCCCAAAGTCATGGTATTTGAATGAAACTTGGCAACATTAAAGGTTCCTACTTGCCAAGCAATGCTTTGGATCAATTTGTCACAAAAATGTAAGTAGAGAGCTGGATTTATTAGTCTAATAAATCCAGTTCTCTACTAGTAAAAGCATGCATACTTTGTTATAGAAAATAAGATTGTCTCTGTGTATCCATTGTTGGACAGTGTCCTTTTGTGTGGTAGATTAAGATGCCTTTAGATAGTATAGTTTACAAGTCATGGGAATATTTCGCATGTGTAGGCTACAACTCATACTATAAATGTAACATATTAACACCCCCTCCCCTCTTCTCTCTCACGCACACATGCACGCGCGCGCTCTCACGCACGCACGCGTGAACGATAACAATGTATAAACGGGACTATCTTCCCAGACTGGACTAAATAAGCACCATACTCTTTAATACAATCTTAATGCCTCACTTTTCCAAACAGCACACAGGACGAGTCCAAGTGTGTGCTTTCCCAAGAGGGGGGGAGAGCCTTTCATAACGCAAACACGATGCCATACCACATCTCAAGATATTTACTGTTCCGTTTCTATTCTTCTTTCATGCAATCAAGCAAATAAAAATGACTACATCTATTGTATTGTGACTAAAATGCAACAAAAATGCAAGTTATCAAGGCCCCCGTTTAGTTTTCAAGTACCCTTCCCCCCCCTTTCCGGTTCACATAAGCGGGGCCTCGTTTGTAGCGCCCGAGGCGACCGATGGCTGATGACGTCACTCAGTGGAAATTTCCCAGCCGCCAGTCCTTCACCCAGCAGGCGCAAATGGCAATGCCGCTTTTCGCTTAGTTACTCCCACATTTTTAAAGATTATGCCAAAACCGCTAAACACAGAAGCTTGAAATTTTAAGGGAATAAAGAAAAATGGTGTACAACGTATCAGTCAGTTTGACAAATCACAGTTCTGAAAAATCTTCAAAGCGCACCTCATCAACCACTTTCGCAAACGTTTTCGACTGCTTCTAGGATGGGTACAATGTTGTCAAACTGCATACTACGAGATTGACCTCTTTTCTGATTGACTGCCAAGTTTCATTCATATCCATTCACGAGAAGCGGCGTGAGAGCGAGTTGAAGACAACAACCTTTGCGTTAGTGCGTCCCACGAAACACCCCCGCTGCGGGGGTTAAAAATCGGCAGAACAAAACGCGCTCGGTGGGTATTGCTAAATAAATTCAAACTCACCAACTCCGGTCTGGGCATTGACAATCTCCAGGTCAAACTCCCCCGGCTTAAGTCGTTTCTGCAAACTTATTGCTTTCTTCAGATCAGTCAGGGACAAATGCAACCCGTCAAATGTGACCGAGTTGTAGTCCAAACTGCTCTTGAATTTGTAATGAATACAAGACATTGTGGGTGATAGAGTCACTCCTTGTAAATCTCAGCAAAATGTGCTTCCTGTGCACAGTCCAAAATTCTCCACCTGTGAAATACAGAGAGGAATAAATTAAATTAAACTGTGTGTATACACAAAATATGGATTAAAAAATTCAACAGTCACAGACATGGTTTGCTGTATGAAACACAGGTTTGAATCACTCAAGAAGTAAAAAGGTTAAAAGGAGATACAGTCGAACCTGCCTAAATGGAAACCTGTCTTAACGGAATCTCCTCGCTACCCCCTTGGTATATTTCTTCTTAAATTACCTGTGCGGAAACGGAAAGGAAAATACCCTTCCAAGAGTTTCACCTGTCTAAGACGGAAAATGCTTTGCCCGCTCAGCCCTGATTTGAAACAAAACTCGCAAGTTTGGTTCCGCCGGCTCTAAACTTAACTCTATGGAGAAGTACAATTTTGGGGTAGATATTACCGGAAATCTCACGTCTTCCCGTGAGAGTGCTTGAGTAGCGAGCCACTACGAAAACTTACCTGGGTAGCCAAAAGCCAGAGGTGTGAAACTAAATTGATGCCCACCGCCCTGATCGTACGGCCAGCCGGAAAAAGAGTTCCTCGAATCGTAGTTACAATGATGGCAGTGAGGGGTGGCATTGGTGGGTGGGGCTAAGGGTGGAAGCAAAGGAGATGTGCAAACATTTCTGTTTTTAATAGGTCAAACAGTGGTCCTATGAAAGGCAAGCACTGGTGGTAATTGGATAAGTAAGACTGATGCATGTCATTATCAGACAAGATAGCAATTGAGAGGTGTGAAGTTTTGACCACTGCTTGCCGAACGAGCAAGCGATCCTTGATCCCACCAGCTGGGCCTTTGATCCCCCCCTAAATTCCCCTGTCAAAGTCGGAGTTTTTTCTGGCTCCCTTGCGATTCCATCTTACACAGGTTCAACTGTACTTCTATACATGAATGAGAATGTAGTGCATAAATTGAGCATTCTCAGGAAGCATAAGCCAAGTCACACTTAAACCTTTTACAACCCCAACCTACAGCCACATCTCCAACAAACTCCCAGTACTGTTGAGTAACAGTGATGGCACACGTGGGAGCATTTCTTGAGCCCTCCTGCATTGACCATTGCGACAGGGGGTGAAATCACAACAAGCTCATTCAAATCCTTGACCTGCAAGGGGCATGTCAGAGCTAGTACTTTACTATAGGATGTCAATTTTGAAAATAAATTGAGTTTGGGTCAAATTTCTGTCAAATAATGAACCATTTCCCCCAAAAATTTTGAAAAACAAAAACATTTTTAATTTGTCTATATCTGACCTTACAACCACTCTTTGACCAAAAACGGAGTTTTTCTCCGATCCTCTCAAACATTATTTGGGAAGGGGGGGGAAATTGGAGTCTCCAGAACCCCATAAGAAAAATCCGCCAAAGTGTTGACAGCGGATTGAATTAACTGTAAGACTAGTTTGGTGGTGTTGCAGCCAGTTCTGTCAGCTGTAATTTTTTATACGCTATTTCAATTTGTTTATCTTTTTTCTTCCACACCAAACATTTTATAATCCTTTTAACTCAACAAATGAGCTCTACTTCATGTGCACATTCTGAAAATGTAACTATTTTATGGCCTTTACTACATTGGTTTGCCTATTCTCAAAGATTTTCCAACATATGGACTGTGCAATCGTAAAATTTCCCTACATGCAAGTAAGTGCAAAAAATGTATATATCCTCAATAATTTGCACCATAATGTGTGTGTTTTCAGATCATAAATTTACAATCGGTGGTATATGACCTGACAAAAAACAGAATTCCAAGGGGGAAAAATTGATAAGTTTATCACGTTTTGAGCTTTGTTTGTATTATTTGATCGCTTATCATTTTTGAATGGCTCATTCTATAAGCTCTAAGAAAATATATGGTTTTATATGCCTTTTATCATCTGTTGAGCGGTAAATGGTCATTTTTCAGTAGCAGGTATAATACTACATCTCGGGTATCTCAGCTGACACCCCCCCCCCACGTTTACAACTGATCCAACGTGGCAGCAGGGCATTTTTGGTGGGTTACTATTAATATCGGCCAAGCCCAATTGTGTACATCTGACTTTCTCTAAGCTAACCCTAACTAGATTGTTGACTTGGTAAGATTGTACTTTACCGCGTAACCGGTAACTGCCGGTTGGAACTACTTTCATGATGACGCTCCTGGGGCCTAGTGGTCTGCTACTTTTTCCTTTCCGAGCTCCCCTACTCAAATTTTCTACGCCATGGTCCGTTCATATGGTATTGTTTTGCATTTGTGTGTTATCTTTATTATTGTTTCCAGGGTGGGCGAGCCCCCTGGACCCCCCCCCCCCTGTTGGTATGATACACGGTGGGTCCACCAAAGTTAAATCCCCTACCCACCCTCAACCACCACCTCTCACTCCCCTCGCCGCTGTAAAGTAGCCTGCGGAACAAGGGCCTACCTTTTATCCGCACGTAGAGAACTATGAGTATGAGTGTGTCAGTAGGCTAGGCCCGCGTAGTAATCACAGGCCCAGACGGGTGGTCCTGTAAAGTACAATCCAGCCGTTTACTTTTGAGTAGATCTAATCTAGTATTAGGTACCGCAAACAGGCCGTGCGACCCCGTGGCGCACTGTCACGGAGACCAAAACCCATATTTTTACCCTCCTAAAACACTGTGTGATCATGCATACGCACAGACACTTGATATATCAGAAGAAAGAGGAGCTTTTCATCTTTTTAGTGGTATTATTTATTTGAATCAATGATTCTTTTGAGAGCAAAATCTTGCGGGATAAAAGACAACACTATCGAGGTTTTCACTGTCGCTGCAGCGAGTTTCGTGTATTGATTTTTTGAGTGACCTCGGTTGAACAGCATAGCTGCCACTCAGGAATTTCAAAAAAGGAGGAAATTCATGCGAAGGCGGACGCGCACTCTCCGAAGGCCGGAGTAAAACCAGTGAGATCCAGAGGCAATATATACTGGAAAATCTAGCCTATGGTTTTTTAAGGGAAAACTGTCATATTTGTTAACCATAGGCAACTGAATTAAAATGTATTTGAAAAAAAAAACAACCAACAAAGGCACTAAGTAGACTAACAAGCATTTGAGTCAATTTGACAGTTTGGACTTGGTGACTAAAAATCCAATGTTTGTTGCAAGCTGGTGTCTTATAAAAAGATTTTTCAACTTAAAACTTGTACATCGATGTTGAGCGCGCGCAGTATGTATTGGATCAAGGAAGCAACACCTCTGCCGCTGTACTGAGCATTCCTGTACAACTGCGGTCCCGTTTGCACTTAACTTAGTAGTCCCTCTGTAGAGTGTAGATCTAACCTGAATTAAAATTATAGCCTAGGCTATCTAATCTAGATTTAGAATCTAGATATCTAAATATGTGTAAATCTAGATTATATCTAGAGATAGATTATCTAGATCTAGATCTATATTCAGTGTTCACTTCATCAACAGCCACAACATAGCCGTCATGTAAACAAACGGGACCGCAATTGTACAGGAGTGCCGCGGGCCGCGATTTCATTATCGCACCAAACGCAAAGTGCAGCAAGCGGTTAGTTCAATTTTCTCATGAACTTTTCAAGTCGCACCGGCAGCTTCTTTCTCGTTCCAGCTCCTTTTATTTTTGCATTCAGCATCAATTTCTCTCGAATTTCCGCCGTTTTCAACGACAACTCGGCGCATAAACGTCCCGATGCCCGATCGACACTCTGTTGTTCCACAATAAACAAAGTGAAACTAAAGCTAGGCCTAGAAGAATGGAAGTAGAAAGCTACGGGCGGACATGCGCAAGCTGCGTTTTCGTCTCTCTCCCGGTTCGGTGCTTTCCGCGTGTAAAAAAGTATCGCAATTTGCGGCCGAGAGCGGTCCAGCGGAAGAAGGAGGAAAGTAGCGGGAAAAGCTAGATGAAGCGGAGTTTCCCCTCTGAGGTGTAAGTTTATATTTTGAACAACCCCTATAGGCCTAGATCTAATACATTGAGGCATGTCGCGTACATGAGAGGCGGAGTAGGGTCGCAAAACATTAAATTAGGATAAAATTCAGGGGGGAAACCCCCCTACTCTTGACTTTAACGAATGAAACTACAAAATCGCCTAAGCATCATATACATAGATCTAGACACTTCCATCTTTGGTGCCATGCGGCTGTCTATACTTAGGCTATAACACTTGACTTTAACAAACGAAACTACAAAATCGCCTAAGCATCATATACATAGATCTAGACACTTCAATCTTTGGTGCCATGCGGCTGTCTATACTTAGATGTAGTCACGTGATCGGAGGGGTATCCTGGTCTGACGTCAAACAAGATGGGCGCCTTACCTAAAAATAGTTTGCGTCTTTCTACTTTAATCGCATGAGTTTGCTGGACAACTAATCAGTCTTATCATGTTTGCTTCCCTCACTCACAGGTTCGAATCACGGTCACGCCATTGATTTTTCTGTGCTTTTTCAGTAGTTCCCACCCCCCTTATTTGAGATACACAGATCTAGATTATTGATTATCTAGATCTAGATCTCTAGATCTATACGTTTGATTTGCGGTGAGCTGAGATATCAAACCTTAAAACATTAAATTATGGTAAAATTCAGGGGGGCACCTGAAACCCCCCTTCCTAATAATTCCTATTTTTATTAGATCTAGATCTAGGTCAGGGGGGCAAGCCCCCCTGAAACCCCCCTACTCTTGGGGCCAAAACCCGTGAATAACAATTGTGGGGTGGGAACTACCGAAAAAGCGCCGATTTTTCTAACAATGTCATATTATTGTGTATGCTTTCAGATGTTAACATGTCACTAATAATACCCATTCCAGGTGAAGAGACAAAAGGAAGGCTAGATCTAGACAGTCACACTCTAGATCTAGATCTAAAAGGAATACAAAAAAGTAACACAAATTCAGTTAGTTTACTTTCTTTGTGGCCACCTCTATTCTCACCCGGGATGAGAATAGTGCAGGCTAGTCTTTTGGCTATTCTCACCCAGTGCGCGTTCACTGTTATAGCCTAGATCTAGGCCAACAAATTTTGCGTTCACCCTAAA